CCAAAGTGGATCTCGGCCGCTGAAATGCTGACGGACTGGTACAAACAGTACTGATGTCCGCAAAGGCTAGTATCAGATTTCAACAAACCAAGCCATGGCCAATATGAGCGCTTCGCTCCAGATTGAACTCACTTCACCTCGCATAACAATATCATTGAGCACTTTAATCGAGATATCCTCCAGGTGCTACGAGCGCTGCTCATTGAGTAAGATCTTGACTACTTGTACCACGAACGATCATACTTACTTTCAGGGAGTCAGCCCAGCTGAAATCACACACCTGTTCAGTTATTGGCGAGCCATTCACCTGAGGAGTTCTTGACGGGGCTGTCGTGCACCCGGCCACTCGAGATGAGGAAGTTGTTGCCGTTTTGATGGACAACGTCTGAACACAATTGACCAAGCTACATCTTCCCAGGTGAAGGCCTGCACGAGGAAGCTACCGGTATCAAGGAGCTTTTTTTTTAAATGCAGAACAAGTTTGGCAGCGTTTGTAGCTTCGATATCAGTGAATACGTCTTGTAATCACGTATTGAACAGCGCCTACTAACGACAGCTGCTTGTCTAATGACTGACCCCAATACGCATTCTGGACGTACTGCCACTAGCTTTCAAGATGGAACATTTAGTCATGGGCGAGGTGTATGAAGTACACGGATCTCGACTGGAGTACCGGATTTCACGCATTCTTGCAAACGGTATAAGAACTCTGTCTGAGGGCAGGGGCGGAGGCAGGCCCTCCCCCCGCAAAAATCCCCAGATTTGAAAAAAAAATGTGGGAACGTTGATGGATATCATCATTTCCTTTTTTAAATTAACATAACAGTCAGCAGAAACTCTTCTTTTTTTTCTTTTCAAATTTCTGTTTTCGCTTTTTTTTAAACCGATTTAAAAAGAGTATCCTGTACATTGTACAGAGCTATCGTAATGTCACAACTTCCCCTCAGGACTTCGTAGAATGCAGCTTCAGCATTATGATGTCTAGAACAGGGCTGACCAACGTGGGCGACAAAACCGTCTTTTGTTGCCGCTTTTTTCAGTTGCGAAAGCCCAGAGCTGGACGTGCAAACACAGATGTGTCCTTTGCTGCCATTGCTTCCAGACTGAAGTAACACCATCTACAAAAGACTGCGTCTGCTTTTTCGGAATACTCCAACCACTTATATTTTTCGAGCCATTCAGACTGAAATGATCTCGAGCGCTTGCCATAGGAGCGGCTCGGATAGCTGATTAGGCGGGGTCGAAATAAGTTCATCTTAGAATACGCAAAAATGACTCCACGACATAGCTTAGGATCCTCTTGCAGCTGTCTAATTGCGAAAAGATTTGGAGGACGGTCCACAGGATCGCAACGAACAAAGTCGTGAACACGGCAGTCAAGTGGATTATCAGCAATGCCATTTTCTTGGCACCATTGAGCTGCAATTGACGATTCTAAGTCCACACTACGTGAAATAGGTGGAGGAGTAGGATCTGCTAGAGATGTACTTTGTATCGGATCACTAATACGGCCTTGTAGTTCATCCGGGGACGACTGAAGTTGCTTGGCGAAGAAGTTTGTTATTGCTTGCGGTCTGTGTCTCTTGGGCGGCATCGTGCTTCAATACAAGTGTGGATTTAATCGTGGGAAGACTTAACCCTAATAGCTATGGCCCCCCTCTCTAATTTTGGCTGGCTCCGCCCCTGTCTGAGGCGCTTCTGTAAGAATCGTATACGTAAACTTAAATACAAATATTTCGTAGCATGACCGTGCTTATACAAAATAGAGTTCAGAGCGGTACGATTTGCTACTTTGTGAGATTTGATGCCAAGGGCAATTACGCTGGTTCCATGAATCCCGTGGCTGCAGGAAAAGCATGTAATCCGGTAAAATGAAGATATCAATATAACGGAAGTAATGGCGAAGCTGGCGTCTACTCAAGAAAATGCACCAAATGTCTTCATTCCTTAACAAAGCTCAACGCCAATAGGAACTTCTGGTGTCCTGGGCCGGGCTTCAGCAAATCCACGATAGCTGGGGGAGTCTAATGGTAGTGTCAAGGGACGTGCCACTAACTATGCTTCAATATGGGGAGACGAGATGTTGCGAGATCATCTACAATAGCATGGGGTTGACGGACTGCGAGGTGTGGCCTTTGTGAGGGTGTGAGGCAACGGACACTTGTCAAAGCTGAGATTGCTGGCGGCGACACAGAGCTGCCGCCCAGATAACTTGCTGCGGCACAATAGCTGCACATACGAAATCAATTAGAGACTCGTCCTTTGATGCTAGACAACGCGGTAGACAGGCGCTGTTACGTGATATTGCATGGACGCTGACCGCGGCTGGAACGGAGTGTACAGTGTTGATAATGCTTGGAGACAGAAATGGAATACCACAAAAAAGATAAATTTTAAACGGCCATATTTTTGGAGGAAACAGAAATTTGGGCTGATAAACCGAAAGAGTGCAACGCTCTTCACGTATTCTCTAGTACAGCGTAGTGGGAGGTGAGCGCCCCCTTCCTTAATGGCTACCTTTATAAGCTTCTTAATACAATTTTTTTGTCTGCTCAACAAAAGATTGGTAGCTCGAGGAGAGACTAATAAGAATGTAAACGGGTTAATGTTTTCATGTTAGACTCTGGGAGCTACCAGAGCAAGACTATAAAATTTATCGCCCCCATCGTAATCAGATATCATCCGTTACAAAAACCAAGTCATGATGCTCAATACTTCGTATGATCACCTCGAGCTTCCTTTACTGTGTCATGACGCTTGAGCATTGTATGCACAATCTTTCACACTATGTCGTCGTCAATGGTGGATCCAACACGCCGCAAGTTTACCTTGAGATCATCCAGTGAAGAAGCTGGCGACCGGTTCCTCTTCAGTTTTTTGCGCAAAGTTTCTCAATTGGGTTCAAGTCAGGGCTTTGTGGGGAATGGCTCAAACTGGTCAGCCCAAGTTTTTTCAAGCACTTGGTGGTAGCATTAGCTCGGTGAGCTGGAGCGTTGTCATGCAAATTTATTTGTAGGGTTAAGAAGGTCGTTAATGATTCTCGTAAAGGAATCTGAGAACTGATGTGGTAATTGCCACCGATTCCTCGCAGAAGTGGAGTGGCCCACCACATTCCCACACATAGAAACACACACCATGAGAGTTTGCCGTCCGCTTTTGAACGTGGGGGGCACGCAGCGGTCCGCAAAAGCCTTGTGCGTTCGACGCCAAATCGAGACACGGCCCCGTTTTCTCATGTAGCTCCATTTGCGCCTCGTTCAAGAGGACATCGTCCCAGTCCTCCTCCACGCGGACTCCATACTAGTGTGCATACGCGAGACGCATCTTGCTGTGTCACTTGGACAGGAAGGGCTTCTTCCTGGTCAAACGCCCATTGAGAGCGGTTTTCTTGATCCGGGAGCGGATTGGGCTAGATGACACAGTCTTCCCAATTTCATTACTAACTTGAGCAGCTAGCCTCGCAGCGCTGACGAAACGATTCGCTTCAGCGGTCCTGGCGGGCCTCTATGACCTTCTTGCGCCCCGTTCGAGTCGTCATCTTCGCGCGGCCGTGCTTCTTGAAGTGAGCAATGATAGAATGAACAGGTCGCCTTGGCAGTTCCAGCAGATTGCCGATTCTGGTTTGGACTAGACCGTCCCGGTACTTGTGTACGCACAACAGCCGATGTATTGCGGCTACGGATCTCATTGATGCTCGAGAAGGCAAAATTGAGAATGATAAGCAGGCGAGTCGGTACCTGACCGTGTGCAAGCAGCATCGGCCCCATTAAAATAGAAATTCCCACACAAAATGCTGCAACGTCCGAACAACATCAGATTTTAATACAAATTTCTAAACACGTCACAATTTGTGGACGGGGAGCATTCACTATCTGCCCCACGATTATTCGTCAAACGCTGATTGACGGAACGTTAAGACCAATAGCCAAACGGCGTTTTCTCGGATGTCTTCGCTTTTTGTTATGGGCACGTTCCCGTACTAAGTTCGCGCCAAACGGACAAAAAATGACTTCAGGAGCTTCAAAAATGCAGTTAAGAAGGGAGGGGGTGCTCACTTCCTGCACCCGCTGCATTAATACTTAGTAAACTCAAACAATCGTCTCTTTTTAGATTATCATTTCGTTTCGTGTGTCCTCAAATTAACCTGCATTCTTTATTGTGCTCTAAAATCAAAACCATTAAGCGGTAAAAAAAATTAAAATCTTCAACCGACGAATACTTCGAAGTTAATACCAAATTCTAGAGCAAAAGCCATCTGTGCTCAGCGTGCAATTACAGTGCGCGTCGAAACTATATACGGACTCAAAAATTGTCGATTTCTCTGCTAGTACCGGGAACTTTGCATCAAACTAAACGCTAAACTACGTGATTAACAATGGTAAAACAACCTAGAAAGTCTGAATGGACAAGCAGCAATTTTTTTTTCGCAGTCAAAATATAACGTTAAGAGGTCGCGTCAAAACTATATGCGCACAGCACAATTGTCTGCTAATAGTAAGTTGTAGCGCCTTTTAGAGCCATTGCCAGGTGCAAACGCTTTGGCATACTCTCACGAGCTTCTTGGTGTAGTTGGGCTCAATACCTGCCCACTCAGCCTTTATCCAAGCCTTTAATTCGACACGACTTTCAAATTGACGCCCATTTGCGTAACAACCGACCCGCCAGCAGCTCATCTTGTTCTCGTTCATGAAGAACGTGGCATTGTCGATGTCGAATTTCTTCTTGGCGGTGAAGACGATATACAGTGGGTTACTAATGTACTTTAGCATCTTTTTCACGCTGTACAACGCACTGTTCACAACGATCCAATCGTGGTCATTCTCGGTGATGTTGAAATCGGGGCTCTTGACGGCCACTCCATTGTTATAACGTTGTTTGTCTTTAGAGAGCCCTTCGTGAGTCTTGCGGCGTGGATGGATGCATTATCATGTTGGAAAATCGGCTCCGAATTGCCCATTTTGACCCGAAGATGTCCAGGTAAAGTAGCATGTTTCCGCGCAGTGTTTCCGTGTACTTAGCAGCATTTTGTCTTCCCTCCAGAAAACTACCTCAGTGTTGCCGTACTTTGACACACCAGCCCAAATCATGACGCTGCCTCCGCCGTTCACACGCTTGGACATCAACTT